AAACTCTGCACACCCCTGTGCCAAGCCCAGCACAGGCCCAGAAGAGGCATTGTGCTAAATGAACTCAGCTCTCCCAATGTCTGTATAGACCAGGCACTTTAGTGAGGCTTTTTTGTGCTTTTATCTAATAGTTGATTGAATCGACTTTAGATGAAAATGCCAAAAAGTCCGGCTGAAGCACCCAATCTATACAGACACTGCAGAACCAGGTTGAAGAAATATGCTGCTTCTTCTGGTAAAGCACTTTTGTTTGTTCTTTTTTTTGTTTGAACATCTGCAAGCAGCCTGAGAGCTCTAAAGTCAAAGAATATATGGAAAGCAGGCTGGGGGTTAAAAAAATTGAGGATCACTGATCCAGCTGGTGCCACTTAAGGGTGGCAGGAGCAAGACCTCACCCAGCTGTGCCCTGCTCTATCCACTCTCTGCCCCCTCTCAACCCACTGCTGAGGATGCTCTTGCATGCTTTCTATGCTAAATACCACACATGGTGGAACATGGGTGGGGTGGAGGGGATGCAGCAGACTGCAAATCAGAGCTTTGCCTGTATGTCCTCCCACTTGCAACAGAGCATAATGCTGTGAGCGTGGGGTGCAGGTTATCACCAGGGCTGCCAGAGGGCAAGGGTAGGGGAAAGCAGCAGCAACAACAGTGGCAACAGTTCCCAAAGGAGTAGCTGCAGGCAGTACTGGAACAGCTGGAGCAGGCACAGGGTACTGGACAGGGGAGGAGAGCATTTACCTCCTCACACAGGGGGATCTCGTGGCATAGTGTTGCTTTCACAGCACACTAGTGTGTCCCAGCACACCCTTAGGGAATCACTGCTCTACATTCTTGTACATGTGCATTGTGATATTGTTGTGAAAATATATTTTCCCTGCCTGTCTAGGATAGATGGTTTTCAGTAAATAAATTGGGTCAGTTTAGTTAACAGGTCCTGCCTCAGTTGTCTCTTCCAGCTTTGCAGTTGCATAATAAATGATGCAAGGAACTACATGAAGAGTGAGGGTGATATTCCTATACAATTTTAGGGGGAATAATGGAAGCCTTTTTCATATTATAATGTATATATATACCTGTGTAATGAATATGTACTGTAGATTGTATTTTGAAACTACAATTTTAAACACAAATCAGGTAATTGTATGGTAGTTTATTTATTTAAAGTTCCCTTTGACTTAGTCATCTAGGCAAAGGACAGACATTCAAAAAGCCTGAGAAGGAGGTGCTTCAATCTTTGCAGGTTAGTCTAACCTGCCTAGGCTGAATCATTCTGTAACCACTCGGACATCTCCTCTGGACTGAAAAAATGCAGGCAGTTGGCTGCAGTGGCTCAGGCTAGAAGCCGGGGGCAGCTAGCCCTCCCATCTCTTCCACAGTGCTGAGCTGAATAGGGCCAGACCTGGGCAGGATACTCTGATTAGGGAGGGGTTCTCCCCTCCTCCCCCTTATAACAGAGCATTTATCAGCTCTGTTATCAGCATTTACCACCCCATTAGAAAACAAACCCTTTCTCATTAGGTCAAGCTCTTCTTAAAGAGCTTTTTCCACAGAAAGGAACATTCCAAGGGGGGACATTACCATCTACCTGTTGATTAGCTCTAGAAAGCCCAAAGCTGAAACTGTCCTGTCTGCCTTTGTCATGTCTGCCTTACACAGACACCTCTCAGCATTAGCTAGCATACCACATAATGGCTACTGTTCCTGCTGTGAGAGGGAGGGTGGGGGAATCCCTGCTTGAGCAGGGAAAGCCAGGCAGACACTGCTGTGCCTGCAAGTGTCTGCCAGAGCTCCAGCAAGGGAGCATGGGGGAGAGGCCAGCCCATCACTTTTGAGCAGAGAGCCTCACCCAGCCCAGAAAGCATGCTGAGATGTTGGAGGACTCTGGTTTCACTTAACCAGGAAGGGGTCTGGGACAGATATTTCATAAACCAGTTTGACCCAAATCAGTTAAGTCTGATACTACATTCAACCAGGTTGATCTCAAACCAGTTTCAGCCATTTGAAACTGGTTTATTTGCACTGAATGTCTGTTCTGTTACAGGTTTAAACCAGTTTCTGATCACTTAACCCAGTTTATGTGTAATTTCTGTCCCTAGCCCTACAATGTAACACGCAATTGCTCTGCTGTGGAGAATTTGGTGACACAATGCTCCCAAAAGCATATTTTGGACATGACCACCATTTTCTAAGGTGCAAGATTCCAGCCATTTACGTTAAATCAATATGAAGCAGTAAGTGTCATTGTGATTAACTAAATGGGATTCCCTGAGCCATAAGTCTTTCTTTCTTGCAAAGCTATCAGCACCCCTAAATGCTTGGATCTTGATGCTGCTTTCTGACATTTGTCAGTTAAGGGATTTAAAAACAATGACCTTTGTAAATTGTGTTTAATATTTGAAGGGCCTTTGTTTGTTTGTGTCTAGGAAGCAAATGCAAAGTATCCAAGACTGCTACTTAAAAAAATTAGAAATTGTTGATATTGTTCAATGGAATTTAACATACTTGAGAACACAAAACACATTCTTGTCATTTAAATTCTTACAATGATTAAACACTTCACTGGTAATTGACGCTCGAAGGAAAAAAATCAGCCCCACATCCTGGCAGTTCAAGAGTTTGGCATCACATAAATTATATAAATTTGTTAGAAAGTGTTTTTTAATTAATTTTGGTGGTATTCTTTAAGTTTGACTAATTAATTGGTTTATATCTTATGATATTATTTCTTTGTTTTCCTTTGTTAGCATTCAAACTTAACAGACTTTCATCATTGCCTGAAATATATTGGCTCATTCAAAAAGCAAATTATTTTCTAATATACTGCCAGAAATAAATTGTGCATACTGATGGTCCATGTGACTATAATGCAGCTTTTCCAAAGCATACTGAACTCTCCAAAATGTCCTTATTGTTGATTGTATATAGCAGGACAAATTATGAAGGTTTTTTTTTCTATCCTGAAAGTGTCTTATAAGAAATAGTTCCTGCTATGTGACTTAAGAGATCTGTCTGCTTGCCCGTGAAGCTGACCATCAGCTGTTCTAGGTGATATAATCCAAGCTATTTGATCCTAATCCTACATGTTTGTCAAAGAATTTTAAGCCATGCATTTTACTGGAGGATGATGACTATCGTCTCTGTACCTTTAGAAACATATCCCAAAAGGGAAGGAATAGGGTAGAACCATAGCTCCATCTGTAAGTTTTGATAGTTGGCTGGCTGTAGGAGGAACATGTTGAACCATCCAAAATTATGGTGCTGCCTGTGCAGACTCTGAAGCCTCCTGGATTTCTGGGAAGGGCTGTCTTTCTGGCTAATCGCATCTGTTAGCATGCATAATAACTTATTTAGACAACAGTGGCCCAGACTTTGTCTTACCTAGCTGGAGCTGAGGAATACTATACAGTTTGCATGGAAATTTCCCTCCCACACCCAACATACATAGTCCTAAAAGACCACTTAGTATCATTTGAAGTGTGCTGGGGGGAAGGCATTCTTTTAGAACTTGCTGCCAACACTACCCCCAGTGATCACTCTCCTCCCAGACAACTTTGCAGAGGGAAGATGAGGATGAGCTGCATCTGAACAGTTAGGCTAAGTACAGACGGTCAAAAGGCCCGAGGATGAATCATTAGTCTTTGCAGGTTAATCTATATGGCAGAGATTAACCTGAGAAACAACTGGATACACATTTACTTTTGATTCAGGGAACGCAGCCACATGCCTGCAGTGGCAAAAGCCAGAAGCTGAGGGGCACTAAAGCATGGCTCTCTAGCACGTAGCCAGCATGGGCTGTGTGTTTGCTTCCACTTCCTGCTGCTCCCGAGGTCTCTGGGATTTGCAGTCCAGACTCACATTAGCAAGACTTTTCAGGGTTTCTCATCACTTCCTCTTCCTGCTTCCAGGTGCCTCTGGGATTTGTAGTCCACAGTTGCAGCCAGCATTAAGTAAGCAGGGCAGGGCAGCTCTGTCCTGAGTGGACAGATGGGAAGTTTAACCCCCCTCCCTGGCTCCAGACCCCAGATGGCGTTTGCCTGGGCGGGTAGTCCCTGCCTATCCTTCTCTTCCCCCCTATCCCTTCTCTACTGGCCTCACTGCTCCAGCTAGGGAGCAGAGGGGTAGGGCCAGCCCTGCTCTCTGGAGCAGACAGCACAGCCCAGCCCAGTGCTGGAAAGCATGCTGGGATGGTGGGGGGACTCTGATTTAACTTGAACCAGGAAGGGATCTAGGACAGAAATTTCATAAACCAATTTGACCTAAATCAGTTAAGGCTGATACTACATTGTATCAACCAGGTTTATCTTAAACTAGTTTCAGCCACTTTGAAACTGGTTTATGTGCACTGAGCTTCTATTCTGTTACAGGTTTACTCCAGTTTATGCTCACTTAAACCACTTTATGTGTAACTTCTGTCCCTAGCCTTACAGTGAAGGGTAGTACCCCAGCTAGGGAATGGTTTTCAAGCTATCCCTTTGTACCTTTCAGAGCTCCTGATGGCATATCCATGCATGTATCTATATAAGAGCATGACATTCCCACTTTCTCCTACAGTTTCATTATCTGCACTGCTGGTACGGGAGAACCTGTTGCTCCCCATTTTTCTTTTTAAAAAACACTTGTAATAGAAAAAGTGCTCATTAATGCAGAACAGAATGAAGCAAAGCTGCGTCTTTCAAATATAACATCTCGTTATAAGAGATACTTCTTTTAAAGCCTTGGAGGAGGAATGGTCCAAAAAGAGAAAGCAGCACACTTCAGAGTAATGACTTCAGGGTATTTTGTGTTGGTTTTTAACAACCACAGAATTCAGATTCTCTAGTTTGTTCATCCCAGTGTACTAAATAATTTGAAGATGCTTCTTGTCTGAGACTCTCTATCTCTCTCTTTTCACTAAGTCTAAAGTTTTCATAACTCCACTATTACCACTGTATCTATTCAATATTGAATGACTCCCAAAATATCAAAATTACTAGACAGACATTTTGTTTTTTATCCTGCAGGTGATGATAATGAGATCCTTCCTCCAAGAAAGCTATACACAGTGAGCCTGCCTCCTGAGGGCTACATCCCAGTTAGTCCAAACACTATTAATGACCCAGATTCTGAAAGCTCTGAGAGTAATAAGAATACAGCAGGTAAGGGGGTACACAATGTGATTATTTCTATAATTTTCTTTCCAAAAGGCATTTCAGTGTCCAGGTAATCATGTAGAACCAAATGGGAGCAACCTAGTATTTAACTGTTGCTGCCAGTGGGTGTCACTGTTTTGCAACAAAAGTAGAGTGGATGAATTTAAGATGTGTGTCCACCTGTGCAGACTTTCACCTTACAGAATTTCAGAACCAAGTGCCTCATTTGGTTACATCCTTGCAATGTCATTAATGTTGCTGAAGTTTCATAAGTGTAGCTGAGGCCAGAATTTGACTATAGCGTGGATGCCACATAAGAAGAAGAAGGGAGAAAGCTATAAACCAGCGGTTCTCAAACTCTGACAGATTGCACACCACCAATTTAAAATTAAGTACCACCAGCAAATGTTTCAGTTCAACCTTAAGTACCACCAGCAAATTTTTGTCATATAGAGTAATTATAAATCTGTTAACACATATCACTGACGGGTTGTCTATGTATCACTGGTGGTACGTGTACCACAGGTTGGGAACCACTGCTATAAGCAATGTAAGCCCCACTGTATAATTGATTATTGAGGTGTGTTGTACAAAGAGTAAACTGAGTCCACTCTTGAATGTAGTCCTGAGCTTTAGTAAGAGAAAGTGTTCAGACCAATAGTTTTAACTTTGCAAATCTGATTGCTGTGCTCCTGTGGAAATGGATGCCATTACTTATTCTGAACAAAATGTACTGAAAATTCATAGTGGTCCTACCTCCAGGAAGGGAATGGATACAAGAGGCCAGGTCAGGTTCAACCTGATCAACAAGAGTGCTATAGGTTGGAGAGAGAGCTTCCAAATGGAGCTTTCAAATAGCTTAGGATTTCCATAAAGATATGGAAAGGCAGACTTTCTCATTTGAAAGAGGTATCCACAGAGAGACCACAGAGTGGTCAAAAATACAGCTTCTTCTGGAACTGTGAGACTACAAAAGGAAGTTCAAGGGTGATCTTTCTCCACATAAAAGTCAGGTGCAATAGAGAGATATTTCTAATTAAAAAGTCACTTTATCAAAGCAACATATGTAACAGCAAAATTATTTGGCTAAAATCCTAATGCATCTTTAAAATAAGAACCAATCTTGTTGAACTTTTTCTCTCCTAATTGCCTCATAAGGTGGCTATATTTTCTTTGTAGGAAACTGTTCTGGTACCAAACTTAAATGATGCATTTTTCTCTTTGTGTTCAACTGGATTCAGATTCCAAAGAAATAAGCCCCTTTCTAAATTTTCTGTAAGGTCTTTTTTTAATAACAGATTTAATTATTGAAAGATAGTTTACTTCTATTAGAACTGTTAGCCCTAGGTTAACAGTAGCAGGGTCCCGATTCTGATTCACGTTAGCGTTGTAATTTGAGAGAACCAGAGTTGTAAGTGTAACTGAGCTTAGAATCGGGTCTGAGGCAGTTATTCATCTGGACAAAGTTTTTAGCTAAATGAATGTCTGATTAAACAAAACAAATCCCATGTTTGGTCTAATTATAAATAAATAGATCCTTAAGGTAAACCTAAAACACTTACATTTCTTGAACTGAGAAATTAGAAATGGAAATATTGTCAGCAACAATAAAATGCCACCAAAAAAAGCAAATTATTTTAGATGTTAAGAACTTTGAGACTCCAGTAGTGCTATATATATATATAGCACAGGCGTTTGTGAGCTGAAGCTCACTTCATCAGATGCCTAACGTTTCTATTAACAGTTCTAATCACAGATGGCTTACTGAATTTTCATCTCCATGTCCGCCACATTGCTTTGGAAACTTAACAGTTCAAGTTTACAATGAGACAATTCCTTCATAAAAATATAAGACCCTGGATTGTACTTGCTTATCTGCATACGTAAGCTTAGTGAAGCAAACCTGTGAGGATAATTTATCTAGGCCTGACACTCTGCACAACCACCACTCAGCTCAAACCACTGCCACTGACATCATCTTGTGTTTCTTTCACTGATGCTTGACTCATTGCTTTGGCATTCCTTACAGAAGCTCCCCAAATTGAAGAGGGTTTCCTTATACCACATATATGTACAGAGGAAGAGGCTCACTAGAGGGTACACAAAGGCTCATTCAGTATGTGAATGCATCCAAGATCCCTGGACACTACAACTTTTGCTACAAAGTTGTGTTCAAATTGTATTTAGGTGTTTCTGGCAACAGGCACCATTCTTTTTGTGCACGGAGCTCATACAACTCTCTATGTATTTGCAGGATTTGTGGAAGATGGGGATTTGCATGTTCATTTACAGGGCTCCTAAATTTACAGACTATGAGTCAAATACATGCAAGCTGGGTTTTATGCAGCATAGAGGTCAGAATAATTACAGTAATTACAATGAATTGTCTCTTTTGAATAGTATCGGTAAATTGCTCCCATGTATATCTTTTTGCTGTGATCTTAGTGCATGAACTGGAGCCATGGGTTTAAGCATTCAGTCTGTTTTTGTTTCCATTAGAAGTGCAGCTATTGTATAATTTCAAGAGATGAATTGTATTTAACAACATTTCAACTCTACTACAATATCAATAACATTCAAGTTGTAGCATTTTCAAGGCTTAATCCACTGCCAGGTCAGATGTAAACTAGCTAATATATTTCTGCAGGCCATTCTGCTCTTTCAAATATTGCCTTCTGTGCCTATGAGGTTTTAACAGCTAACCTTGGTAAATTATGTAAATCTCCCTATTAATTTTTATAGGTGTAGGTTTCATTCATTTATATTTACTTGACTTATATAGTACTTTTGAAGTCTGATTTGGTGCTCACTGAAGT